ACCCAAAGGACAACGTATAGCTAACCTACTGTTAGGGAAGAAGCCTCATGTAGGTAGGTAGAAGCTCTCTTGCTGGGACATTTTATCAAATAACCAGTTAAAGGAGTCTGGAATCAGACTGGAATCCAGGCCTTCACATCCATGAGCAGATATTTAGGTGGGCTTTCAGAATGACCACTGGACTAGCTTAGCTCCCTCCTCAAAATTAAGATGAAGGAATGAAGCTTCTAAGTTTCGACTCGACTTCACTTAACCATGCCAAGGCCAGGTGAGCTTTGGGTTTGCAGAGAAACAAGACCTACAGAGACATTCTGAGTTTTGAAATAAAAGGTCCATCAGTTCTGAGCTAGGCAGCAGCTAAGTAGAGGCATTTTGAAACTAAGCAGAATTTGGATACCCAAACTGCACTTTAAATGACAGTGTGTTTTAAACTGCTAAGATCTATGAGGTGAGATATGAAGCCTGTACAATAACCCGAATAATACTTCATTTTCAACTGTTCTGATAATGTAGAATTGATTTTCTTTTTCAGGCATCACTAAGAACTATTTTCATTCTCACTGGTCGGATTAGCTATAGTATGAGTAATACCCATTCAGAAGAATTCAATAGCAACAGGTGTTTCCTCAGGACAGACTGACTGAAGTATTGCTTTTAATGAATGTTTTACTGGTAAATTAAATTCCTCAATACAATTTTTTTGAGAATATTAATTCATCTTAGATACCACTTTGAAAAGGATAGATATTCCCAATCACACAAATCCGCAACAATATCTCAGACAAGTGTAAAGTATATTCATGCTTGCAAAAGCAAGTAAACTAACATGCCTTCAGAAGTTAAGACAGTCAGCTAAGATGCTTTTTGCGTTTTGCTAGCCTCCCTTTGTGAAAACAGTTTAAAATTAATCCATTTTTCTTCAGTAGTTAAATCAAATTAATTTATCTGTGGAGAAAAGTAACTGAAAAACCATATTTCCCCAAATCTTACATACAAGAAGCCCATACATAAAAATTAAATCCAAGATCCTCACTTAACAAATATGAACTGAAAGCCACTTATGGCTTCTTTATTGCCACTGAGATTTTGCAGAAATATCTCAGAATGAACAGTGTAAAAAATGCTCTAAAGGAGGTTTCAGTTTTCCAAAACTAGACTAACGTTGAAATATAAAAGCATATGCTTTCATGAGCCTTAATGAGCTGAAGATCTCCCCCTGTTGGCAGCAAAAAGCCATTGGCTCAGTTGTCCTTATTTTTGCTGAAAAATGCTTAAAGAAAGCACTTCAACCAGATGAATTATAACATTATAATTGAAACCAACACTGGTTATTTAATACATTGAGTGAGGCTTTTCAAAATTGATTAGAACAATTGATTTGAACAGGTCAAAGCAGAAACAAGATAGCACCTTCAAAGTCTAAAAGACAAAACCTTTTCATTCAAGAGAACTGCATGTTCTCTACATAGTACAAAAGCTTTGTGTGCGTCAGTTTAAAAAAAAAAAAAAACAGGTTACAGCTGAGTATTCCTATCAACAAACAACTCAAACAGCAAGACTGAGAAAATACCATGCATGAGTTTCTGAACTTCCTACCTTACTTTCCCCCTCCAAATAAACTTTAGATGGTATTTTTCAATTTAAATGCAATGTTTTATTGCTGTAGTTTCTAAAATTAAATTCACTGTCAGTGTTTTCAGTTAAAAGTCTGCATAGCTGTTTGCAAGAAACTGACAGAACATTTGATGATCAAAGGTTCACAAAAAACAGGTCTTGCAAAGAGCTCTTGCCACAAGCCTACTTATGGAATTGCACATTTACCATATTTAATTCATTGAATGACAAAAACCCAATCTATTACGCTTGCATGAAACTTTATGCAACTTCTTACAGCTCTGAGCATCAATCTGTACAAGTCATGCACAGGCTGAAAGGAAGCTACTCTAAAAAAAGACTTCTGAAAACATTCATAAGGGAAGCATTCACTACAGCAGGCACTCTCTCTGCCCGATTTTCACATAGGGATCTGTTGCAGTCATCACTGTATGCTTAAATTCAAGTCAGATAGCAGCAGGCAAGAATTGGTCAGATTCACCTTCTCACTTTAAGTGAAATCAAACGCTACCCTTCATATCAGTTACAAGCATTATTGATTTTATAAAGTAAAAAATTTTGGTTAAGTTAAACTCAAATTGAGAAGCTCAAAAGAGATAAAGAAAAGGACAAGTTTATTGTATACTTTCAGGGTGGATATTATGCAGATTTTGTTCTGCTGGAGATTAAAAGAATTTGTCTATCAACAAATAACTACAGTCAGTTACTACAGTATTTGCAGACACCAGATTACACAAGCACAGTGGTAGCAGTTTACAGGATGGTGTTAGTTACCACAAATATGCCTTGTTTCCATACTTTCGCCTTTATTTTGCGATCTAATCTTCTCTCAAGGCATGTCATCAATCAGACACATAGACAGAGACTACTCATCTACCTTTTCCAGATTGAGACATTAAGTTTGTTTCATTTTAAAGATATTAAACACAGTGACTTGAAGTACCCCAAAACCACTCTTCCTGTTTCTGGCAAATCGGAAACTGACATTGGTTGAAAAAGCCCAACCTTCTGCAATGCACATGCCTATATATGGTAATGAAAGAGCGCTCACAAAAAAAATGCAGGAGCTCTAAGAATGCCACACTAGTGTCAGTTCAACTTTAAGATATGCTCCTTCCTGATAATCACTTGAGGCACACCTAACAACAAAACAGGCACCAAAACTTAAATTCAGCTTACAATACACTTTACTGATTCATGACTGTGTCTGCTAGGCACCCTGACAGCACCTCAACAGCCACACTGCAGGAAAAGTGTGCTGGTGAGCATGATGCTGTGAAACCACATACTTTGCCCTTGCTCTTTCCTATTCATCACTTACTTTAAGTTCAGCTGCGAACTCACTGCAGCGGGGAGACACACCCTTCCTGTAAACTCATACCAGATAAAAGTTCATTGCTCTAGAGCAATAAAAATGAAATAGTGAAGTACACACAAAAAGCCCTAGCTACCTAAAAAAGTGCATGAAGTCTGAAAAAATACAATTGAAGATTGTCCACAATACTTTTCCACTCTAGAAGGCCAAGAAAACTCTGTTGCTAATCACAAGGAAAGAAAGAGCTTCTTTCAGCAGTTACTTTTATCAGTGAATTTAGAAACTGTTGTAAATTCTGAATTCCTGGGAGAACCCTTGCTTCCTTATGAAATAAAAGGAATCTCACACAGGTCAGCAACCTATATGTGTG